CAAAACTGGGCAAATTAAAGTCGTAGATCCAGAAACCGGAAAAGTACTTAATCCGAATCAGTCAGGAGAAATATGGCTGAAACTACCATCCATAATGAATGGTTATTACAAAAATCCCGAGGCAACAAAAAATACAATTGATAAGGATGGTAAACAGATTCTTTTTGTCATAATAATTATTAAATAATATTGTATAATTATATTAATTATAATATGTTAATATAATTATATTAATTATTTTTAGGTTGGATACATTCGGGTGACATTGGTTATATAGATGAAGATGGGGAAATATTTATTGTAGACAGAATAAAGGATCTCATAAAGTACAGAGGATATCAAATCTCTCCCACAGAAATCGAGAATGTTTTGATATCACATCCAGCAGTGTCAGAAGTTGTAGTAATAGGAATACCTCATGCTATAGATGACGAACATCCACTTGCTTTTATAATAAAGCAACCTGGCGCTAAGGTTGCTTTATTATAAATTTAAATAAAATTTCTTTAAATAAAAATATAATATGGAATATTTAAACAATAATTTACTAAATGAAATCTATTTGATAATTGCAAACTGGTTTAGCATATTCATCCTGATATTTCTTTAAAAATTTAATGAATAGAATGTCTTGTATAGAAGTAAAGATATTGTTTTAGAGACTCAATGAAATAATTCAATTAAAAACAAATTAAAGATAATGGTAAAATTATCACATTAATGTGTTTTTTAATATTTTAAATATATAATTAATATAGAAATTTCTATTTCCTTTATTAAATAGTAAATTGAATTAAACATTATTGCGTATATTGAGAGAATATCATTACGTCTATATATTACATTTTAATGTAACGAAATAATTTTTTTATATTAGAATGATCTTTCTGTCATTGATTTAATTTTCTTTGTACAGGTGATGGAACAAGAATTAATAGACTTTGTAGCAAACAATATGATGGATGATTGTAAACTACGTGGAGGAGTGATATTCCTGAGTAAGTTTCCATATACAAGTTCAGGAAAAATTTTGAAAAAAGAGTTGAAAGTAATGGCAATGAAGTTGATAAAGCACAGTGATGAAATAATTTAAAATAATAAATAATATATACATATATAACAAAAATAAATAATTTTATAGTAATATAAAATTTATAGTAATATAAAATTTCTATGTATGCATGATCGTGCATTATTTCAAAATGATATGTATTATAAATGTGAATTATTAGTAGTTTCATAAATAAGCAGAAAATATCTTTTCTTTTTATATATAAAAATAATTTTATTTTAATTAACAAACATATATAATCTTTTTATTGTGTATATTGTGTATACTTAAATCTTTTCTAATTAAAAAACGAATATTAAAAATTAACGCAACAAAATTATTTATTTAGATATTTGCAATCTATTATAAATAATATTTAAAAATGTATAAAGAAAGAAAATAAAAAAATAAAGATATAATCAGATCTTATTATGTATACAGCCTATCTGAATTTTGGGATCTTTTTTATATAAATATTTTATTAAATATTTTGCTGAAATTGAAAACTAATGAGCAGATTCAAAATAAAAAATATTTCTCAACATTAAAAAAATATATGAAATGTTTTCAAATATTTAGATGGGTGCAATAAAAATTAAAAAAAAAAAGTAGCAGTTAGAATTTCGATCATATTTAATGTACATATAAATTGAAACCGAGTGATATAGCATTAAAAATGATTACAACTATTTAAAAGCATCGAGTCTGCATAGTAACAGTCACGCTATGTTTTCTCAAAACTATTAAAATGCAAGAGTACAGAATTTTTCACTTGAACTTTGACTGTGCACACTTGATTTATAATCAGCTAAATACGTCAAAGTATCTAATTAACGTTGATCTAATTTTTATTTTTCTTTTTTTTTTACGAATAAGTTATATTTAAAAATTAATAAACTTATCAGTACGTTCTAGTATCAATGTGCTTACTCTGAAATGAACAACAAGGTTTACAAAACGTTGAATCATTAACCTTGAATCATGATACAACGATAACCCTTAAACTTTTTGACATCTCTGAAGAAAATATTCGTGAAAGCTTCAAAAGTATTATTAATAGTAATTACAGTTTTTTTTTTACTTAGTAACAATGACAAAGAATTATTTTTAAAAAGTAATTTTCCAAATTTTGAAGCATATATTATACTGAATTAAGACTGAATTAAGAGCTTAAAAATCCCATCAAATTCTACAATAAAGAAGGTATACGTACATATGATTGCCTAATTGCAGGAATCAGTAAAAATCAGTATGGTAAACTAGGATTTATTAGCACAAGAGACAAGTTTGCATTGCGTTTATGTATTTATGGCAAAAGAAATAATGGAAAAGTTATCACAATAAAATATCTTTCTTAGATAATAGATACTTTTTTTTCTAAGTTTTACTTAGATCATACGAGTATTACGATAAAAAAAGATAAAATTTACAGAAGACAAATCATTTTTCGACTCCTGTTTGAATTATTCTTAGCAACAATCATTGGTCAGACGTTCAGACGATACTAAGGCATGAGAATTATATCAAATTAATAAATCAAATAAAGAATATCTTTGTACACACTAAATTACTTAATGCTTATATTTTTGTCCTTTACGTTTTATATCTAATAAATAGATAAACTGAATACAATATAAGTTCAAGTTCCACTTATTATAAAGAAACTATACAATATATGTATATAGAATATAGTATTATTTCTGGCACAAGAATGTAGAGCAAGTTTTTCTATCACATTAATACAATTTTATTTATTATAACAATCAATTATTTAAAAAGTTGAATATTAAGAATGAAATTCTTGAATTTATATTAAAGATATAAAATATATACAATCTGATTTATCTTAAATAGAGAATCAATAAGAAATATTTAAAAGTTAATAAGAATCAGTGAACGAAGTTAGTTAAAAATAATAACAAAACAGGTCAGTTGAAAATAATTTGGAAGTAATCGCACACTTGTTAAATAATTCTATTGCACCATTGCAAGTGCAAATCATTTCAGTTAATCTTTAGGTATAAAATCTGTATTTTATGTTATGAGATAAGAGAGAGACACTTTCGTCATATCTAATATATAACTTCTTCTAATCAGCACTCCCATTCCAAAGTGCAACTCCTAAGCCGAAACAAACTCACAATATTTAATTTATTGTATCAAAAAATATAACAAAGTAGACACATTTCGTTTTGAATATTAAGAATATTTTAAAAATATTTTTCCCAAGATAAGTATTAGAGAATATTGAATAAGGAATATTATTGATTGATCTAATAATGATGCAGCAAGTTTGCCATCACTAACATAAGTGATTCATATATATTTTTATTGACATAAAGGCATAAATTATTATTTCAATAATCAAAGCTTTCATGTCAATAAAAATATACATAAATTAATCACTTATATTAGTGACAGCCCGTAATATAGATTTTAATTGTATCAACAGCATTTTTTTCTCAGTGTAGATAAAGATTAATATTTCCGATGTAATACTTAATGATCGTGATTTGATTTAAAACATATAGTAGATTATCAATAAAATTCTAAGCCTTTCTTCAGTTTTTACATACAAAGATAGTATTATGTATAACTTTATTTAGAAACATCGACATTTATTCTTTAAAATACAGATTATTATGTTTAGTTCGCCATCATTTTACTAAATATCGGAATTGATTTTAAGACCTTCCCCAATTTATAATAATATTATGACAAATTATTGCAACTGAAATATTTTAAATAACAATAAGAATTTTAGATAAGATTTATAGTAATAAAATATTTAAAACATTAATATTTATACATTGTGTAATATTTAGAGTTAGTAAAAATTTCTATATTAACTTGTTTGTATACTTACTTAAAAACTACAAGTCATTCAAGAATACTAAAATAATAATAATGATGCAGCAATGTTCAAGATTATGCGTTGTATCATTTGTGATAGAAGGAAAATGTTTTATAGATAGCTAGAAATAAATACGTATGCGATAAATACTTACAGTTAGTTTCTAACAACGTTCCTAAGTGCTTCCTTGTCTGAATGTTCATTCATCAGAAAAAATAATCTTTGTGTACTTAAAAAGTTTTTTTATTCACTTCATTAATATCGATTTTTAATTAATGAAATCTTCATTAATATCGATTTTTATTTAATTGTTGAGCTTTCTATTTATTATATACGGATACTTTGATATTTACCGTAGGTACTGTGCATTTTCTATAAATTTAAATCTGTTTTATAAATAAATATGATAATCTAACCATATGTTTTATTTATGTATCGATGTATTTATGGATTGATTTACAATAATTTACTAATTGTAAGACAGCTGCGTATAATAATTTCTTAGTGTTAGTAGCTACTTTTTACCTATTATTGATCACAAGTATTTTATAAGTTATATTAACAATAATAAATGATTTTATTAAGACCGTAATATGTGAATACACAATAAATAAAAATATTAAAGCCTATAACGGTCGAAATTGGAAGTCTTTAATGAGTTACACAAGCTTTTTGTTAAATTCATATTATAAATAACAATACATGTTGATAATTATTATATATACATATCTGTTTCAAAAAGATGAACGCTCAAAATAGTATTATATTTTGTTTCATCATAATTCAATCCTTACTCTTAAGTGACTGGCAGTTATTCTCAAGATTATTGATGCTATTATGTTTTTTTCCGTATTATTATAAGTGTTCCATACGACTAAGTTTTACAATGAAATCAGCAGTCATATAATTGTAAAGATAAAAGATTACATAAAAATGTAGTAAAACTTTCATTTTTTTGTAATAAAATTTATTGGTAAAACAATTTGCAAATTTAATTTCTATCAATAAATAATGCTTTTAGAGAATTCTACTACTAAGAAAAATTAGTGAATAATAAAAATGATTGATAGTAATCAGTATATTGTCTTATTTTAATTAAAATTTATTTCGGAAGAAAAATCTATTTTTTCATATGTGCATTTCACCGCATCTTCTCCAACATACATAAACACATACATATCTTCTGTACATATAGTACATATATACATATATGTATACATATATATGTGTACATATATGTGTACATATAATAAATATATATAGTATATATAAATATGTACATATAATAAATATGTATAGTAGTTGCTCTTTCCATTAGTTTATTTAGAATAGTTATAAAACAAAATTTTTTCCTGTATTATAAAGTACATCTTTTAATTATATTCAAGAATCTACGCTTACGATCTGACATCTGAATATTTCTAATGAAATGATTGAGAATAATTTAAAGATAAGTGCTAAGCAAGCGTGATGAATTTTGATGTGATTAATTTTTTCATGTTACTTTTAAAAACTCGTAAACATATGAGTGGTATAAACCGTATAAATTAAAGACACAAGCACAAAGGCATTGTGGTATACAATTAAAATAATCATACTTATATCTGTTACATCTAGATTTTTACCATGGAAAATAGCATTTGCAAAGGACAGATAAAGCATAATTTGAATAATTACAAAAGTTTAGGAGAATTGATTTGGATTACCATTAAAAGCAATGGAGACAAAATTGCGCGCGTGAGTAAAAAATTAAAATTAAAAATAACTGTGAAGTTAGTTCTATACCAACAATCTGTTTCTATTGAAACTATATTGTTCTAAATTTTATCTTATAAAAAAGATGATAATAAATAAATAAATAAATATCTTAAAATTATTTCAGCAGATATTAATAATGATTTTCTAAGAGAGAAATTAACTTGTAGAAAAATAAAATTTGAACAAAAGTTACTTAAGTACAAATAATTGTAGATACATAAATTTTATACTTAAATTTTATATTTAAATTTTATATAATTTTGTTATATATATAGTTTTGATAAAAAATATATTTCTGAATTATGAATTATTTTTTCAATTGTGAAACTAATATCTCTACAATATAGTTTTTATCATTTTTTGTTATCATTTTTTGTGGTTTTTGAAAATTTTGTATAATACTACTATGCAGTTGGATGCACGTACTGAAGAAACAGTCACATACGCGGAGATGCAAAATAAAGCTGTGAGATGCGCTTTATGGTTGCAAAAACAAGGAATCAAATCTGGCGACGTTATTAGTGTATGCACTGGTAATCATCTTAACACTTTTGTGCCCTGTCTTTCGGCAGCTTATATCAATGCGATCTTCAATCCATGGAACGAGAACATGAGTTTACGTAAGTTCTTCTGATGTGATTATCAAGTATGTTCTCACATATTACATTTTATTAGATTAATGAGTTGTAAATAACGTTTTCAATAACAACAATTCAATTTTACCTATTTTGTTAATTGAACATATTTAACTGTACAATTATTTAACGTAGCGCGTTTATCTTTTTATTATGTATGAATAATATACTATTTGTTGTATTTGTTATTAGAAACTACACTGTACTTTTTGCAACTAACGATGCCGAAGATGATTTTTTGTAGCGAGAAATCTATAAATGTCATTTTGAACGCAATAAAGAAGCAGAATTGCAATCCCATGATAGTAATTTTCGGCAAACACGTCGATGCGGTTTCATTTTCTGATATCTTGAAAAATTGTAACGATGCAGAAATAACAAATTTTCATTACATTGAGCTCGATGACATCAAAAAGACAGCGTGTATTTTGCATTCATCGGGCACTACGGGTAACTATACTATGTTAATTTTAATGCAACATCATTGGATACACATAACCAACGTGTCATCACTTTGGTTCTCTCCTCTTTTTTGGTTGAGTGGAATAATGATGAACCTCAATGGAATCATGCAAAGCACCAAAGCAATTATCTATCCAGAATTTGATGAGGAGATGACTTGTCGATTAATCGAAAAATACAAAGTAATATTATTTATTTTATATTTGGATAGCCTTTTTATCAAATAATTAAAGTAAACAAATTAAACAAGTTAAATTTTTTTCTATATTATATTTTTAAAATGTGATAACTAAAATATGTTATCGCACTGATAATTACAGATTTTTTTGTGACAGCTAAATTTTACAAGTAATCATAATGATAACATTTACTCTTCCTATGATAACATTGAATCAATTTCTTTAAAACAAATTATAATGTTTTATTTTAAGGTAATAATTTATTGTATTAACTTGTGGTAAAAATTATTATACTAATAATTATAATATCAGCAATGTGCTATTAATTTGTTATTAATACTTTTCGTACATTTAAGAGTTACAAATTGCATTTTAAAGCAAGTTAATAACAAGTTGTACAATATATTAATTAATATCTTGCAAGATAAATGCAAATTGTAACTAAAAAAAAGGTATTACAATTGTTTACCTACTCATTAAATATGTATGTAATTAATTTTATGGACATAATACGACGATAAAGTAAAAATTATGTTATTATTTATCTAGGTACAAGTTCTTTTCCTTGGCACGAATTTGTTGAATCGATTTCTCAGATCCGAATACATACAAAAATATCCATTATCATCTTTGAAAGTTATAAAATGCGGTGGTTCATTACTTAAGTCAAAAGTGCAGGAAAATCTAAGGCACGTTTTACCGCATGTTCAAATATTGCAATGTTACGGTAAATAATGTTATAATGCCATAAAATATAAATATATATTAATATGTGTTATATAATTTTGATTATATTTCTTATGTTTCTAGGAATGACGGAAACCGGTGGTATTATAACGATACAGCAACCACATCATAAAAATGGATCTTGCGGAGTGCTAATCGAGAATGTGAAAATAAAAATCGTTGATCCAGAAAGCGGGAAAGTACTTGGTTCGAATCAATCAGGAGAAGTATGGATAAAAGTTCCAAGCTTAATGAATGGTTATTATAGAAATCCCGAGGCAACAAAGAATATCATTGATAATGAAGGTAAAGATATTTTTTCTGTCAAAATAATTATTATTTAGGATTATTACTTAGTACGCAAAATGTCTTAAAACAATTTACATTTATCTTAAAAGATAAATTAATTTTATCTTTAAATTAATTTATCTTTAATTTTATCTTTAAAAGTAAATTTACTTTGTAAATTTTGTGTTTTATATTAAATTCAAAAGCTTATATTTAATAATATCTTTATCAAATTATATAAAAATAAATTCTTGCATATTTGTAGGATGGCTGCATTCGGGTGATATCGGTTATGTAGATGAAGATGGAGAATTGTTCATTATCGACAGAATAAAAGAACTTATAAAGTATAAAGGTTATCACATCTCTCCCGGAGAAATCGAAAATATATTACTATCACATCCAGCAGTGTTAGAAGCTGCAATAATAGGAGTCCCTCATATATTAGACGATGAACACCCTCTTGCTTATATCAACAAGAGGCCTGGCGTCAAGGTTCAATTTGTTTGTTGGAAATATAATGGAATCATAAATTTACAAAATAAATTTTCTTTGATCAAAAAACTAATTGTGCATATTCCAGAATATCTCTTTAAAAATCAAATAAATAGAAAACAATTTTAATAAAAATATTTGTTTGAGATATAATTTAAAAAAACATAAAAAAATTTTTCACATTATTATATTAAAATTTTTTAATATTTTTAGTATAAAATAAATATATAAAATTTTATTTCTTTTATTTTAATAAATCAAATTAACTGTTATTGTGTATATTGAGTGAATGTCATTATTATTTATACATTATTTTTTAATTCAAAATAAGAAATCGTTATATATTAAAACAACCTTTCTTATATTAATTTAATTTTCTTTATATAGGTGACAGAACAGGAATTGATTGACTTTGTGGCGAAGAACATGGAAGATCGATGCAAACTACGTGGAGGCGTTATATTTTTAAATAATTTTCCATGTACCGATTCAGGGAAGATTTCGAAAAAAGATTTAAAAGCAATGGCAAGGAAATTGGCACAGCAAAATTAACTAAGATAATTTTATAATTTTTGTATAAAATAATTTTTAGAATAAAATAAAGTTGATGAAATTGTTAAATTATAAGACGCATTTATAAAAAGCATGTTTAAATTTATACTTGTACATAATAATAATTATTAATTATTAATTATTATACAATCACGTTAATTATATATAAGTAATTAAATATGTAGAAATATTTGAATATACAAATTGTAATAATAAAAACTATTACATTGTGTATACAGTAATTTATTATTAATGATATATGTTTCCGTATATCTTACATATGCTGATGATAATGCATAGATAATAGGCTATATAACTGTTATATTATTTTTAGAAATTTTTTTTTATTATTAATATTTTTTGAAGTATATGTCTTTTCTAATATTCTAATTTCTTATCAAAGCTTCATTATCAAGATACTCTTTTGTGTAATTGTAAGTAGATATATCAAAAGTTGCGAATAAGTATAAAAATGAGTTGTACGTATAAAATTTGTTAAAAACAGATTTGATATACTCGAACATGTTCTTCGTTTCTATCTTAGAAAACACCTTACTTTCTGTGCAATAATATTCCGAGAGCATCCATTACACAGGTTGTGTTCTTAATGTATATTCAACTTCCCCGTCTCCATTGATAGATATGAAAAAACTCCTTTATAACTTGCACGACTATATTACAAAAACTTATAGAGGTTTCCTCTCCATCATCCTCGCCGATCTTAATCGGTGGCCTTTTTTTCTTTATATACATGTTTTTTATTATTCATTATTTTATTTATCGTACAATTTTTTATAATAAATACTACAATCTACAAAGTAAAAAAATTTGTGTATTTGTGTGGAAACACTCACGTTTGTGTTAACAGTTTGTGTTGAATTTTTTAACATATTCGAATGTTAATTTAACATAATGTGATTATATTATTTAAAAATTTTTTGTGAAATTGATATTCAATGTTTTTTACTGTCAAAATAACACAATTTATGAATAAATGAACAAGTAATATAAAAATAATGTATTTTAAAACGTAAATTCTTGAATAAAATCCGTGTTAATATAACATATCAATGTTATATTAACACGGATTTTTAAAAATGTTAATTTTCTGATAAAAAAATATGCTTTTACGGTTTGTTTACAAACTGTGTCAATGTTATCTTTCTTTGTATTTATTCTCTTACATAATATTTGTGTTACCTTCTAATATATTCTTGTGTAAAATTAACTGAAAAATTTGAGTGGACCGTTTGGGACATGCAATTTATTTAAATTCAACATATTTTTTCCACCTGTGTATTTACATTTCATTTATAATATGTTGCAATTTATTTTACGTAAATAGAATCGTACGGTTTTTTCATTTAATAATACATGACATAAATTTGTAATTATTGCCAAAAATATTGATGATCTAGCAATAATTTTTTGTCAGAAGAATATACAATCAATCATTTTATGAGATTGTTCTTCGGATGTAAAATCAAATAACAAATCAATGATGTATTAAATAAGAATAAATTTTACAAATGATACTTAGCAGCCAATATTGTATTATTTAGAATTTAATAACTGATAAAATTATAATTGATTAAATTATAAATCATTAATTTTTAATTCTCAAAACATCATGTATCATTAAAAACAAAAATAACCAAGACATTATTGTATTATAGATTACAGATATTGAAAAAGAATTAGCAAATCGTCGAACATAAAAATATGCCATCAATAATAATATTTATATGAAATTTAGTTAGCTTTAATTTTTTTAATTAGCTTTAGTTTTTCTGGGATATCCATGTGCGTTTGCTTCTTTAAACATGGCCACAAGAGAATCCATAATCTCTTCTCCAGTCGGAATAATTTGATCAGCTGGCAACAAAAAACCATAACGACCCGTATCACGTAACTCATAAGTGTAGGTGATAGGTGTACCATAAGTGCCTTTAACCCAATCCATAGAACCTCCGGATGCCACATCTGAAAACAATTTTTTACAAAAAGAGTAAGCTTAAAGAACCATATTTTTATATACAATTATCTTAATTTAAGACTGCAATAATTATATCAATTTTACGACGTTTTAAGTATAATACAGGGTGGGCCATCTATTGGTACGTTTTTGAATTTCGTCGTATGGCAACACCGAACGAGCTAAAGACCCGAAATTTTGACAGTTTATTAGTCATACCGTCCGCGGCACGAAACAACATGTTTTCTCTTGAAGAGCGTTTTGAAATTTTAAAAACTTATTTTCAAAGTCAGTGCTGTGTCGCCGAAACTGTACGAATTTTGAAAAGAAATATGGGTCGTGATAGAGCACCCACCGAAGGAGCTATACGCAAATTGGTGAGGAAAGTTCGTGAGAAAGGGATGTTAGTGGATGACATTATATTACGACTGTTTTGAGTGAAATTGGCGCCGAGATAGTCCAAAATGTCATTAATAATTGGGGTGACCGAATGGCATACTGTAAGGCCAGTAGAGGGAGCCACATGAACGAAATCGTTTTTCATTCTTGACGCGGATACTTTTAGCTTCACAACAAAAAAAAATTAATAAAAAATATCAATGTATGCTCATTTGATCGCATTTTTAAAAACGTACAATAGATGGCCCACCCTGTATGAAAAAATTGTCAACAATAAACCGTTCGAGAAACTAAAATGTATTTAGATATAACAAGACAAATTGATAAGTAGATAGATAGATGGATAGAAGATGAGAAAAAGAAAGAGAAGACAAATTTAACGAAATTTTTTACATACATATTGTCTCTGCAATATTTCCAACCGTATAATGAGTTCCATATTTCTTTTCAAGAGCTGTAGCTGTTTTCACGCCAATATCATACTAAAAATCATAGAAATAAAATAATACAAATACAATATATATAAATAATAACATATAAACATATAAATTTTATGTTCTACAATATTATTTCTACAAATATGTGCATTGAAATTTTTTGAAATAATACATAATATTTTAAATACTTGTTATAAATAATTATATTTTTATCTAAAATAATTTATACAACAATAATAAATAATGTACATGTCGATAAAACTAATATTCTTACGCAAAAGCACTGTCTCGATGGACTGTGACCTCGAAATCGGAAATTCACCCGAAAACACTGTGCTACCAACGTATTACAAAGTGATAATTATATATTGTATATACAATTATTTGCATTTACTTATAATTCAGTTGATACTGTCTCACTAATAAATATAGTACTGATTGTTCTATCTAACTAATTACAGAAAAACTGATTGTTCTATCAGTTTAATACTGTTCTATGATACATAATTATTTTATTATGAATTTTTCTATTATAAATTTTATATAATAAATTTCAAAATTATATTTATTTTACTTGGAGCGCTCAAATTAAAATTATAATTGACAAATGTTTCAACTCTTTCGATTGGTCTTCCTTAGTGTAAAAATAAAAATATTCAATAATTATATAAAAAATAAAAGAAACACAGTAATTTAAGTCATACTAATTTTTAACATTATCTGTTTGATATGTATTTTTAATACACTAGAGTTCCTATATATTTTCTTCCTTTTATATATTTAACGAGAAAAAAATTTTGGGCTGTAGGTTAACCCACTCTCAAATATTTGCAATGATCTCTGCACTAAAAATAAACTTTTATCGGTTTTCTTTAGAAACTTTATTCCATGTAAATATACTAATATGCGATAATATTGGTTTCTTTTATTTTTTTTACTAATTATTGAATATTTTTATTTTTACACTAAGGAAGACCCAATCGAAAGAGTTGAAACATTTGTCAATTTTTCTCAAGAATAAAGTATACGATTTCACACACGCCTAACCTGTGTTGGCTCGTTTGACTTTTAAGTATTACATAATATAATAAATAATTTAATAAATTTATAGAGATAAAATTGGTTTTATAAATTTTATAAATTTGTGTATATTACTATTTTTTTGAAGTTTATTTTTTGAATTTTATAACTAATCAAGTATTACAAATTTTTTAAAAAAGGCAAATTTGACTGATTTACATCTATACTTGGACTAATTATTGAATTATAATTTACATTTGACTACTCTATAATTAAAATTATAATACTTACCAAGTCGTCATAATTATCAAGATGAGCCGTTGTGTGACCATATGGGATCAACAACAGTTGCGAGTAACTATGGAACGCGATATAAGCGTACAATTTATCGGAAATAGAATCAATATATTTGGACAAGGTCTTTGTCTCAATTTCGGAGAATGGTGCACTTCCAGCGTAGGTTTCGGAACATGCAGAATTGCTAGCGCCTCCAGCTGATAATATCAAATTACATATAAATATATGTTTATAAATAATACTAAAAATCATCGTGTTAATTTCCAAAGTCTATAGATTAATTTCAATTTTTTATTAGATAATATTTAATTTTTTTATTATTACATGGAACAGTTTTCTAACATAATATAAATTCTTACTATTCCATTTGTAACCCCAGTTTCTGTTGGGATCGCTGCCATAACAGAAGAAACTATACTGTTTACGTGTTTTTCTCCATAATCGGTTCTAAAATAAATTAAAAATATTCGTATAATTAATGTATAATTAGCAAAGAATGTTCTATGTTATTATAAAATGTAATTTACTTTGGTGTGTGTGTACACGTATCCGTCGGGATTGAACGATGGGAAGATATACCAATCGTAGCTCTCAGCCAGAGCTCTGATCTCTGGATTGTCACTTTTCAACAATTTATGTAGGATGTACATGACAGTTGCTGTCGAGATCCATTCTCTAGCGTGAATACCACCCTCAATAAAGACTCCAGGATTATTAGCTTTAAAGGAAACCTTGACGCCTTTGATTTGACGTCCCTCATACGTCTGGCCGCCCACAACAGTTTGCACAAATTTGGAATATTGCTTCGCTGTGTCATCTAGATTTTTATTAATTACGTCTAATGTGTGATAGTTTTTAAAATCAAATGTCGATGATGCACTCGCAGGAGCTGCCCGATTGATTAATGTCTGAACATTCTCAATAAAAACTGTATAGG